GGGAAATTCCAGGCGGAAATCCACGGGCCCTCACACATGAAAAATCGATAAAATTTCGATAAAATTTATTCTTTAGTTTTTTAATAAAAGAAGTCATACGACCGACTTTTTACCATAACGCGCAGATATTTTCAGCACATAAGAAAGCAACACAGAAAGCATGTTGAACCGCCGTATATTGTAGAAGACAAGCAATTTTCGAATGGCTTCATGGAGTAGTTTATATTAATATAGGACAGACAGAAAAGGCTGCTCAATACTTTGAAAAATCATTAGAGTTGTGTTTAAAAAATTTACCAGGAAATGATCCATATATTAAGTACCATGTACAACAATTTAGAACTAATCTACAATAAACAAGATGATTGTGATTGAGCTTTATCAAACTACAATAAAGCACTGGATTTTCCATTAAATGCACCATCTCCAGTGCAAAAGGCTACAGCAGGCCTGTATAACAACATCGGATCAATCTACAAGGATCAACAGCATTACTCTAAAGCGTTAGAGATGTACGAAAATTCTCTTCGAATCAAATTAGAAATAATGCCAAGCAATCATTCCGTCATTGCCATTTCATCCCTTAACACTGGACAAATTTACAAAGTACAATGTGATTATGATAAAGCAATTCAATATTTCAAAAAAGCACTCGACATACAGCTCACTTCGTCACCTCCGAATCATCCACATTTAGGCGGTGCCTACAAAACTTTAGCTGCAGCATTGTACAGTAAACTTGATTTCTTTAGTGTCTTTGGTTATGTTACTAAATTAAGTAGCTCTATACAGAGTATATATCTGTACTCGATTTTTTTTCTGATTTCAAATACATATTATCTTTTCTTTTATAATAATTTACTCAAAGAAGTTAGATGCCAGCATTGAAGTAACTTATTCAGGCTTGGAATGAGAATAAATACACACACATTAAAAACCCAAATAAAAAACAAAAGCATGTATTCGTTCGATGGCTGTTGACGGTATTTTCTAGTCAAATATAAACAAGTGTTTATGATTTCGTGAAGAACGGACACTTCGCATCTTCCATATTTTAAATGAACATCACCACCTATCAAGTAAATTTAATATAGAAAACATGGAGTAAGAAGAAATAGAGAAAGATATGAGAGCGACAGAATGAGTACACGTTATTGGACCTACATATTCGCAAAACGAAGAAGAAGGATAGAACAAAAAATATTAGTTTAGTTTAAGATTCATTTATTTTATTTTTATTGATTTTCATGATTCTGTTGAGCATATTATTGGCTGAATCTACTGAATTGTCTCATCATCAACCACTTTTGTTTTACAGTTTATTCTACTCTCATACTATTTAGATTATAGGAGAAATTTTTCTGTTTAAAGAATAAAATAAGAAAATAACAAATTTTATATTTTCATAAAATATTCATTTTTTATATATTCAAGGACGAGGGTGCTCACTCTAAACTTATTTCGTATTCCGTCGACTTCGCGAATTCAAATTACATTAACTAGAGAAGACTCATTTCCATTTTTGTACTAATTTAAAGTACACGAGTGGTACACGGATATATACGGATGTATTTTTTAGAAAAGACTTCTTTTTAGTTTTTTGAGGTTTATGGATGTAAATATCGCTGATTATAAAACAAAACTTGTTAAATTAAACTGGGCAGGTCGACTTTCGCGCGAAAATCGAGACACGACTCGCTCTAAAAGGTCGCGGCGCGAACGCGCTACACGATCGCTATTAGACTCGCTTTAAAGTCGCTATAAAGTCTTGCTATAGTGATTCTCACGACAAGATCTAATTTAATTTAAACTTTCTTATTTTCCAACAAATCGAGCTAGCTTATTACATGTTGGTTGAAACTGAACAGATGTCACAATAATAACAACAAGAAAAAAAGAACAATACGTAGAAAAAGAAAAAGAGAGAAGCGAAAGAAATAATCAGAAGTGTTGCAAAGTTGGAAAAGAAGTTATCTTATCGAAAAGGAAACGCTTTTTCTCTTGCTTCAGGAGTCTTCAGGAATCTGCCGGGGAGTACAGTTCTACTTTGGTGGAAAAAGAAAGGTCGCGCGTCATTGGATCCGACGAAAACGTCCTGCATCCTTCAAAAATTTTATAGCAGAAAGGTCTAGGATTTTAATTTTATCTTTTTCGAGAGAGAGCATGTCTTCGTTTTTAAAAAGTAAATGATCCATTGCTACGTCAGTTATTTGAAGTATAGACTGAAACGTTTCTAATAGTTCTGAACATTGTGCTATATACTTTGCACAAAAAAAGACAAGATCTTGCTAGTTATATAAGAAAACCGCGTTCTCGCGGAGCGAGTCTTGCCTTGCCTTTAAAATCGCGATACGAGTTAGCAAGAGGCGTGATCAGTCGTGTCGCGAATCCTATTATGCAGACCGGTTCTACAAGAATCATGCATAGTCGCGATAAGTTTCTGCAAGAGTCGTATTGCTCGTCTATGGGTTTTACCGTAAGGAAACGTTTGCTGTATGTGATCATACATCACGCTTGTACTTACAGAGGATGTGTATTCGAGAAATACTAACGCTATGAACAGTTCGTTGCTAGAGCCGAAAGCTAATCTACTTAGGGCTATCCAAAAGTAGTGAGGGAGGTACTATTTTTTCTTATAGAAAGCTTGAAAAGTTTTTCTTTTTTTGTGAACAGATAGAGCGTCTTTCGCTCTATTTTTCTATGCTATCGCTATTCAACTAATATCATAATAATAAAATATCGATAAGATCTGTTTCTTTCGCATATGTGCTGGTAGCATGAACATAAATGCTCGTGAGTATTTTTTGAATAATGTTTAATAGCAACAAGATAGAGAACTGCGGTTTTGGAAAGAGGCGATGAAGACGCATCGAACCATATATTACTGATTTTTCTAACCTGTTTTTTGTAAGATTTTTAGTTGACCTTTTAAAGAACAAACCTGTCGCGTGAGTTGTTTACAGTGGATTTCCAATAACCGGGTTCACATTCAAACTGCTAATTGAAGATCTACAAACTGCGAAAGACTCAGGTGTAAATGTAATTATTTGGAGATAATACGTATTCTAGACGAACCTCCACTACGATTATCGATCAACTTTTCTGTTTTTTCTTTTTTTCATAAAAAAAGGCATTTTTCCGTCGGTTAGAAAATTGAATGAAAACACTTCAGAAATCATATTAGAAAAATTAGTAATCTACAGTTCGATGCGCCTTCATCTTCTCTTTCCAATGATGAAAATCGCAGATCTCTATCTTATTGCTATCAGACGTTATTCAAAAGTACTTACGAGCATTCATGCTACCAGCACATATGCGAAAGAAACAGATCTTATCGATATTTTATTATTATGATATTGGTTGAATAGTGATAGCATAGAAAAATAGAGCAAAAGACGCTCTGTCTGTTCACAAAAAAAGAAAAATTTTTCAAGCTTTCTATAAGAACAAATAGTACCTTCCTCACTACTTTTGGATAGCCCGAAGTAGCATCCTGTGAATGAGATGCTCTGGAACTATGCCGCTATCCTCTGTGCGTCAAACCGAACTGACCTTCGCTACATCCTGGAAGTCACCAACAACAAAGCGATATTACACCGAGGAAACTCATAGAGATCAACCATTTGGTGCATTTGTCACTTTAGTGCATTTATTTTGAAAGCTGTTAACACGGTTCACATGCTAATTGAACCTATATAGACCAGGCATGGGCGAGTCTGAGGGGTTACCGAGTCCTTACCAGTTCAGGCCGAGTCCATTTTGAGTCCGGTAATCTTTTAGATTCCTTTTTTCATGAGGGTGGTTTATATTTTAATTTGCTGAGGCTTGGATAGATGTTTGATTTTTCGAAAATAAGGTCACGGTCCCGAACAAAATTTTCAGTTTCATGTGAGATTCACAGAAATTATAGTCTCTAATAATTCGCTAACATCAGAGAAATATCTGCTCCTTTGAAGTAATCAACAGATTCCTAAGTAACTTCGGTCTGTTCTTTTTTCTTGCATCTGTTTAACTTATTCGTCTCAATGAATTTCTTTTCTTTAGAAAACTGAAACTCTTTTCTTCTTTTATTACAAAAGAAATTCTCGACTAATTTTCGTAGCGACTATATTTTCTAGCGGCCATATTTCGCGGCGACCATTTTTCGTAGCGGCCATATTTCGTGGCGACCAATTTTCGCTCGACCTTTTTTCTTTCGACCATTTTTCGCTTTCCCGGCAAAAACAGAATTAAGTTTAAAAGAAATTTGAGCACGCTAGATCGCTGCTTTCGTTCAATCACTTTCAGAGAATTAAATACCTCCTAAAAGATAAGACTAATGATCAGACATGGATAAATTAGTTTTCTTACCCTGTCAATTTATAACATAGATATTGATTACCAAGTACAAGTACGACCTCGAAATATGCCTATACAAGAATTTTTTGAAATAATTTCAAATGTGTATAAAAAACACAATTGAAAAATACACTTTACATTAGTTAGAGTCTACAAAACTCAAACGATGATCGACATCTGTCACTTTTTCTTCTATCCAGCTTTGAGACCTACAGAGAACTGAAGTGAGAAAGCGTGTTTTTCACTTTTCTGAAAAACTCAGTTTCTGAAGAACTACTATCGGTTCCATAACACAACTCCTTCGGCTAATTTCTGAATAACTTTTGTTAGAAAAGAGCTGAAGACCTGTGGTTTTCAGCATTCGGTAGTCAGCACTTTAAGTCACACTTGAAAAGAATACGCCTAATATAAGACGGTTCTTCTAAACAATTAAGTGTTAATATGAACAATTGTTTTTTGCTGATTTTACGGTCGGCTCGATGCGAAACCAATGCAGTAGCTTCTGAAAATTTTCAAGTCCGCGACTTGCGCTGCCTCGGAGAAAAAGTTTAACGTTAAGAGATTGGAATTTTGGACTGAAAAGAAGACTGGAATTCATGAGTTTTCGTACAAATCTTCCTTTAGAAATGTTTTAAATTTCAGCTTTGATAGTTTATTTCAAAATGTCACAGCAGTCGTACAAATGTCCTTCATGCGATTATGCATGTTTTCAATTAAAAAGATACGTTGATCATCTGAATGACAATCATGGCACCGCAAAGAATATTTTTATATCGTGCCAAATATGTAACACGACGTTATGTGCTCGCGGTTTTTCGAAACACGTCAGTCGATTTCATAAAACATGTTTAAGTTATGATAATAATGATGATGATGGTAATAGCAGCAGTACAAATAATTGTTCGAGTGAAAATGGTTCAATAAAAGATCGAAATAATTGTTTACTCAATGACAACGATAATGATAATGCGATGGCGATACCACATCAAGAACCACAGCAAACCATAGAAGAAGGTGTTACTGATCCAGCATGTTTATTTATTATGAAACTTCTACATTTCCTCTTAACACGTCAATCATTATTTTACGTTTCTGAAGCAGCAATTAAATATGTTGCTTCCAATATAGCTGATATTTTGGAATGGATGCTCAGTCATAGTGAAGTAAATATTACTTTGTGATTTAGCTACAAGAGTAACTTAAATTATTTGCGGTGTCCGGTTTACATAACTTTTAAAACTGCAGTTTCAAAACAAGACAAGTTCTATACTTTTAGGTTGTTCGCCAAGGAATTTTGTTTTTAAGACGAATGTCATCTGTCAATAGTCGCTTGAAGGCTGCTGAAGAAAACTTTGGCTACGAATATCCACAAAATAACAATGTTCGTGTAAGTCTTGACGGAATTCAAGCGGCAATACATCTTTTTCATGAATGTTTGTTTTATGTGCTCTAGATTGCATTACAAAACAACAAGTTTATTCAGGTCAAGTGGAGCGTTATACCATTCCTGAAAAATCTGGCTATGTTTTTGAAACTACCAGAAGTACAACAAGATTTAACTCGTCCAATAGGCACAATTTATCCAGTAATGTTGGATGTAACAGATGGTGATTTTTGTCGTTCACACTTGTTATTTCAAAATAACCAGTATCTCAAAATAGAATTAAATTCAGGTTGAATTTCTGCTATGAATGCCTCACTGGCCTCATCTCACATTTGTTTTATGTTTTTTAGACGACTTAAATATTACTAATGCAGTGTCTCATAAACTACACAAAATTTTCTTTGTGTACTGGTCGCTACTGAATTTACGTCGTGATCATCGTACAGGTCAAGTTGCAAAACGTTTAGTTACTGCCTGTGATTCAAAGGCGTTGAAACATGATTTATTTGAACAAATCCTCAGTTATTATCTTAAAAGCTTATACGTTTTGAAACTAAAATACTAGTGATTCCTTTGTAATGTTTTTATTTTAGGTGATTTTTTAACCGGTATAAAAGTTTTGGCTACAGATGGTTTACGTGTAATGGTTGATGGTTCAGAAAGAATTTATAAAGGGGCATTATTATTCACAATTGGTGATTATCCAGCCCAGCAAGCCATCCATGGCCGGACAGAATCGGTATCTGCCACCAAATTTTGCTCATTATTTATGCAACGTAACATCGAACAATTACATCGACAGTATCGATCAAGTAAATATTGTCTTTGTACCATCATACCTATTCTATTTTTGAAGTTGTGTAGTAAGCTATTTTAGATTCCATCCAATTATACAAAAGAAGATTATGAAGGTGCCTGTTCTGTTATTGAAAATATGTCTTCTGGTGAAAACAATAGTTATCTCGAATTCTGGCGAACAACATTAGGTATCAACAGAAGAAGCATATTTTCAAATTTACCACATTTTGACCCAACGGTTCAAGTGTTATTTGACCCGATGCACGTCCTACTTCAGGGTAATCAAAGTTTTTTATCATCACTGGATAAAACAATACTTTTTGTCCAAAAGTCCCTGCAACAGGATAGTTCGTTTTTATGTTCACGACGTTCTGCTTTGTTTAGGTGTTTGTAAGTTTCATCTCAACTGTTTTTTGGATTATTCTGTGCGATCAAATTATTTTACCATCGAGCAGTTTTGTCATGCTGTTAATAACTTCGATTACAGTATCCATGAAAAGTCATCCAGACCTCATCTGAATATGAAACGTGAAGATTTAGCTTGTCAGTCAGGAGGAGGTGAGAGAAACGTTTAATTTCTGTCACCTCCTCTTTGGTGATCATATCTTATATTTTACAGGCATGCCATTGGATGCAGTGCAAATGTATCATCTTTTTATCAATTTACCATTTATTTTACGCTCATTATTAAATCGTTATCAATAGATATTTTGAAAAGCGATACATATTTACAAGGTGTTACACCGATAACAGCTACCTTATCTGAAAATCTTGAAATATGGGATTTGCCGGTTCTGCCCACTCATACTGAACGAAAAATTAAATTAAATTCGATATGGTATACCGCTGGTGCAGTGTTATGTACATCAAATGCATATTTATCAGACAATATTGAATTGGTCAAGATTGATCATATATTTGTTGCTGATGGAATACCTACATTTGGTATCCATTTTTTGAAAATCATAAGTTATGATCAGTACATGAGAGCTTTTCAAGTTCAAGAACGTGAACGATTTGGCACAGTAGCAATTGCTGATTTAAAACATATATGGCCACTGAAATTAGTTAATTCAAATAATAATATTTATGTTGCATTACGTCCATACGGTAGACTATTCATGTGAAGTTGAACGGTAAACATTTCTTCATTCTCAGCTCATGTGCAATTCACATTATTTTTCGTTTTAGGTCCCAAATTTACGAACACTATATTGAGCACTATATTAAGTTTTGCCATTGTGTTCTTTACAGTTTTTTGTGTTTTTACACTTTTGTTCAGTAGTTGTTTGTATAAAAGTGCTATATACATCACAGCATTAAGCTTGGCCGTATGAACCCCTTCTCATTTTTATTGTTTCTTTCAGATTAATGTTGAATTTTAGAAATATTTGTTATCTATGTCGTGCGGACGATCCTTGTATTACTTATTGTGACATAGGTGACAATACGTGTATGTGTACGCATAAAAAAAACAAGCACCTTCAAGGTTAGTGTGAATGTTGTATCTGTTGATATCGGCCACAAATTGTGATTTTACTCTAGAATCTAAAACAAATGGCTTTGATCACTCAGTATTATCATCGTCGATAAACGATAGCAGTGCAACAACTACACCAGAAACGACTCCCTGTTTGTCATTGTCTTCATTATTAAATTCAGAACTTGATTGTTCAACGCCATCAAAATGTCATCAATCACCTCCAGAAAATCGAACGTCGACGCCATTATTAAATACAAAAAAAAAAGAAAATATAGAATATATAACTCAATCACAAGTAATGTTTTCAGAAGTCTCACCAACAGCAGTTGCAAGGAAATTAAATTCCTCAAAACAAAGTAAAAAAATGCCCGAATCGGTAAACTTCATTTTTATAACTAATCTTATAGACAGCATATGTCTGTCCATTTTGTTTCGTTAGCGTGTTCACGTGCCTACATCTCTTCAGTTACCCGCTTATACAGAAGCGGTTGAAATGGCTTTAAAAACCGGTAGCAGCTCCGATTTCAAGCAATCATTGTATGGATCATTCTCTCTTGTTTTTATTTAAGGCAATATTAAACCTGTTGCTGGTTTATTTTTTCGTCAAACTCGTGATCATATAATGGCTCGTTACGATACGAAAACAGCAACTGACTACAGAAATATCAGTATTGCTATCGTGTCGAAATATTCAAACTTAGCTGTCGCTCCGGGTTTCCAGTTAGTGCGATTAACTTCTGGTTTTTTAATTTTAGTTTCATTTTCTGCTTTTTTGAAGGGATCAATATCCATTCCATTATCTACATGCATCAAAAACAAAATAAAAGAAAATAAACGATCTATTGGAAAACTACCTTCAAGAAAAAGACAAACCTCCACATCAAAAATAAAATTAGAAAAGGAAAAAAGGAGGAATTTAGACAATGATTCTGATGACGTAAGTTTATAACTTTTTACTCCTTTTTGATTTTATAGAAAACTGTTTTTTCGGAAAATACTTTTGCACAACTCGAATTTTCGTGTCCGATTTTCTTCACTTTAGAACGATCGCCATAGTGTTGTTAAACGTAGTCGGGTCGATTTTACAAAACAATCCAGTACAAATGTAGACGAAGAAGGTGATTTATTAAATGTATATTGTCTTTTCTGCGATATAAAGATGAAATCACAGCTTTTTGATTTTACAGGCACAAATGAACCTTTCTTGTGACTATTCGTTGTCACTATCGTCGTTGCCGATGATCATCAATGATAATCTAGAAGAAAAAACAGTAAATATTCATCATTAACTTAAAAATAATTCTCACTGATATTTATTTGACTTCTATGTTTTTGATCTTTTATTCAGGATGCAAATAGCGATTTAGAACAAAATGATTTTTCTTCGATCCTAAATCCAGATGAAATTCCTACACAAAATGAAGAAGTCATTGTGGATTATGATCTTCTAACTGGACTCTTATCTCCAAAAAGAACAAACACAGCAACGTCTCACGATACAGAAGTAACAGCATCACAATCATTTGAAATAAGAAAGGAAGATGCAGATTTACAAGAATTATCACCCCCATCATGCACTGTAAATAAGCAAGATGAACCAGATAACACAGCAGCAAAACAAAACTATTATGAACAATTAAGACAAAAAGTCAAACGAATTCATCCAATGCTGCGTTGGATTTGCGTGATATTACATCGACACAGACGACGTCAGAGTCTGCTTTAGTGCAACAACCAAGAATAGTATAAATTATTGAACACATATGATACCTATATTAAAATCTCAAAGAAATAACAAATTTACAAGTACAAATAAAAACATGTTTTTGTAATATTTTTAGAATGTATGAACATATAAGAAAAAAATCTATTTGTACTTCTAGGTCATGGTACCGTAAGACAATTGAAACAACCGATTATCATTCCTTCACAGCAGCAACGAATAAAACAAGAACCAATCCTGTTTTCATCATCTAGTTCGCTAGATCACGTTGTGCATATTTTTCAAAAAAAAGTGACTAAACAAAAAAAGAAACTAGAGAGCAATTGCGCTGCGCTCAAGTTGCGATGTCGACAGAAGTATCCGACCTGAATCTGCCAGAAGCTGCCCACAGTCAATAGGCAGTTCGCCACATTATATTCCCTTGACTGTAAAGGAAAGGGTCTTATCGAGTTAAAATGCCTGTATGTATGTTTGTATGTTTGTTTGTTTGTTTGTATGTTTGTTTGTATGTCCGCAGACTAGATACTAGCGACAGACAAACTAGTACAGCAAAAGTTGATTGGCTGATAATGATGAACGTGACGAGTTGATAGGCAATCTTCAAATTGAGAAGAAACTCGTTTTTGAAAGGTTTTCAATATTTTATTCAAAGTGCCGCCGTTTTCTCTGGCTTCAAGTGAAAACGGCGTCGTAAAGGAGACA